CTTCTTTCTCTCTTTTCTGGGCAGCATCTAAAAATTCTCAGAAAAATATATTGTTTCAAACTGTGGGGGGGTGGAGTGCATTTAGCTGTTTCCCCTGTAAACAGAATTTCCAAATCTTGTCTCTCGTCTTCCCCTGGGGAGCTTCTGCATTTCCCCTCCTTTCTCTGTCCATCCTGCTGCCTGCAACTGTCTCAGTCATCTTAACGAGTCCTCATTACTGTCCAACAATATATCTAAATCTTCCACCCTCCCAAGGTTATACCACCATATATGTGGTTTATTTGCTTGATTACAACGACATACCAGGACAGTGATTTCTTTTGTCCTTGCCTTTTTGGATAACTTGCCACGTGTGGCTTATGGACCCACTATGTACAGTTTTGGTGGTCTGTGTTAAAAAAAAAACAAACAAACAGGCGCAGGTGGAAAGAAAGTCTGCTAAAGAGGGTCTGCCCTATTAAAAAGACTAAAGGAGCTGGTACAAGCTAACAAAGTACAAGGTATTGTTTTATATAATGACTCTATAAATACATTCAGAGATGTAGGATAAATATCAGAGAGTAAGAAGATCTCGATGCGGCTATTAGCAGAAGATCAGATGGATACAAATCACGAGTGAACAGATTCAGATTAGAAACTAAAAAACGTTTGCAGACCTTGTGTCAGAGCACGAGACATCTGGGTATACCGCAGGGCTGGGAACAGCCACCTAAGTCACTGAGCCCTGTCCCCAGCTACTTCCCTTGGCTGGATGGGGTGGGCGCACAAGGACACAACCCAGCATGCCCCAGTTGCAGTCGTGGCCCACAGCTGCTGACTGCTTTTCCAAGCATGTTCCCCAGGTGAAGCCGATTGCTGTCACATGCGTCTCTTGGTGTTGTGTCTTGCAAAAGCACAGCTGCCTCGGCGGGCAAAGACGGTGACTGAAGACAGGAGTTCCAGGCTGAAACTGCTTAAAACAGCTTAAAATAAATCTAAATGCCTGGGATCTAGAGAGGGAAGCTGACCAGCGCAGGGATGGACGTGCCAGGGCTGGTGTGTGCAGGAGCAGAGGGGCAGGTGGCTGCCCACTGCCACAGAGCTGCCCAGCAGAGCCAGGTGCAGGTAGCCCCTGCGCGGGAAAGGGGGCGAAGCACAGCTCTTCGCTCCTTGCAGAGAGGAGGCGGTCCCCCAGCGCAGTGGTAGAAATGTCTAATTACATACAACAGAGGAATAGATATGCATGCTCAGGGACCTTTCTTCATGAGCATAAATTAAGAAAAGTCAAATATTTATTTTAAATGGTTGTGCCATATGCTAATGAAATGCTAATCTGCACAGAAAAGACACACTGTAAATAAACTCCCCAGAAGCACCTCACATTCACTGGGCTTCATCTTTTTGAGCAAACTAAGAAGAAAATAAAATCAGCAGCATGCATTATACACTCCCTCCCATAAGACATGCAGGCAAGCTTAGGATGACATGGGCCAGTGCTTCCCAAACTATCATCTGCCACCCCCAGGAGCACCACAAGCTACTTTTAAGGGCCTGCAGAAGTATTTGAGAAAAATAAACTTACTCGGTTTAATACTATTGGGGGTTGCGAATCCAAAGCAACTGAAAACACTAGTGTATCATTCAAGACCCGACATGGAGTCAGAGGAATAGTTCTGCCTCTGCCACTGACCAAATGACCTTGGGTAAGTCACCTTACCTCTGCCTCCCTTCCCATCCTTCCACCAGTGCAACTCTTTGTAAGCTTTTAATGCATCTCTTATTGTGCATCCGAATAGTACTTAGCACAATGGAGCCAAGACCCTACAGAAACACCTCACTATTAACATACTTTTTACAGCCTCGAGAAAACAATCCATCCCCAACGTATCTGAAAGTTTAATGGCATTTAAAGATGGAAAGCAACCTATTAGGAAGTCAAATATGACTCAGTAAAAGGCAGCTTTTGTAGCGCCCTTAACAAACCTGCCCTGGAGATTGGTATGTTTTTAAGCAGCAAGGCTGGGTGACGAAACCTGTCAGCAGCCACTGCTGTTGGCTTCCTCTATTCGCCAAGCCACTTCCATCCTGTTACATACATTCTCCACACTGGCAAGGATGTGCAGACCACAATTTTATCAACATGCATATTACTGTGTTGTCAGCAGCTCCTTAAGGTTATTCCTCTTTTCTTTTTGGTGATATTTATAAACCCTGCGTGGAGTTGCTATGGTATCTGTTCCTGTCGGTGCAATTGGTATTCAGCGCATTTCCTCTCACCTTCACCGTTCCAGTGACCCTTCCTTCACAAGGAAGAGCTCATACAATCAGCCTGTTCAATTAGATGCCACATAACACACTGTGCAAAAACTCCAACTGCTAAGCAAAAGAGGGCTCTGTGGAAACAATTCATCTGCAAACGCTGTCTGAGAGATGGATAAACAATAGTAATTATTTCAAAACAAATTGGAACCAGATAGAACAACCCAGCAGTTTAAATGCTAAACAAACAGGAAAGGCACAAGAAGTAGAAATTTCAGCTCCATTATCTCCAACATCTTGGGTACTCAAGTATGTTCCTTTAAGCAAATATTTTTCTACCGCTCATGCTTTCCAAAGTTAAGTTCACCAAACTCTCACTTCTAAGAAGGTTTCTCTTACATCAGTTGAACAACTTGTACTAGGGAGTGTTCACAAATGGGAGTAACAGTTTTAACGTGGTGGTAAGAACGGAACTGTTTTGTCAGGCTAATATTCTCTTCTATGTTAAGAGTCTTTGCACAAAGCTACACTACTGACTGTACAGCAGTACAGCCAGACAGAATACATGATGATTTCCTCCAAAAACAGGCATGTTAGGAACGGTCACAGCTGCCTCATGTGCCAACCAGATCACAAGATCCCAAAAGCACCAGTCCCCTGGCTTCCCCCTGCCTCCAAGAAAACTGTTGCTGTTACAGCAAACAAGAAGTCGCAAGTACACAAAAGCTGGCACATGATACAACCCCAACTCTGTCCTTGCAGGAAGAACTGGGAACATCGCAGCACTTTGCCCCTTCTTAAGAAAAACTGAACATTCCTCATGGCACCTTTCTTGGCTGTTTAAGTAGTATATTTAACTAAGTAGTGTATTTAAGCTTTTCTACTGAGCAATGAGGTTAGCTAAGACATCTCAGCTTTCCTCTTCTGTGAGCTATACATCATTCCAATCACTTAATGCTACCTAGGACCTTTTTAAGAAGAATAGGGAAATTCCCTGGAGCTTCCCAAAACACTTAGGTGAAGACACATGTAGGAGCGAGGCTCTTCAGCTGATCAGAAAGCATGCTCTAGGTCCTCCTCTAGGCACAAACCAACCCTGTTTGCAGAGAGTGGGTTAGACGAACAGGTCGCAAATGGCGTACAAAACTAAGCTGGCCTAGAAGGCAGAGAGGGTCAAGACTCTTCCGTGCTGTGAGACATGGGAATATCACAGTTTAGGTGGCCAAGGTTTGGGTGGCAGCCAACCTCCAAAACATGCATGATTCATGCACCTGCAGCCAAGCTTTCCAACAGGTGCCCTCACGAAACACCTAATGCGACCAGGGAAAAAGACCATTTGCCACCTTCTCTGCCTGGGAGCCTTCCTCCCCCTCCAGTTTCACTGGCTGTAACCTGCTGCCAGGATGCTAGGTCTTGCAGCAGGTTGAACTAGAGCATCCATCTCTCAGCCAGGGGAGAAGCACAGTTTACTGGGAAATAGAAGCTTCTAATGCTAACGGTAATAACCCTGTAGCTATGATTCCCTGGAGGGTATCAAGGCTTTAGGATGTCAGCCTTTGCAATCACCAACATGTGTGGCTTTATTCAACTCCTTTTATTCCATTATGGGGCTACTGAGACCAAGACTGAGGCCATCCTTGCCTTGCATTGCTGCAGCGCAGGCTGTCAGCTTTGTTCAGGAGGCACCTGACACAAAGCAGACCCTGGCGGCTGCTGCTGCTCGCCGCATCAGCACTGACACAACTCGCTCCACCCCGCTAACACCAACGTGTTGCTCTTTCACTCTCAGGCTTCCCACGTCCTGTCAGGCAGCGCAGCAGAACTTGCATTCTCATCATGCTCTTACTGTAGTTAAAGATGAGAAAAAAACTCAGTCAAAGATCCGATTCAGGATAGCTTATTCCAAAAACAGACAGAAGTTTTTTCACTATTTCCTCTGCTGCTTTCACCTCCTCACATCTGGACTGTAGAGCTCAGCCTTTGCTCACTTGATGGGGGGGGTTCCTTACCACACACAAACCCTTTTATCTTCCCCAGGACCAGAAAAGATTGGTGTACCTTGAATACTTCGTAGTCTCTTTTAAACTGGGGTTAGCTGAACTTCCTATGCAAAAATTTGACCTTTCCTGAAATCCCTTGATCAGCAACTGCCTTTGGTTGCTCTTTCATGTTTGAGGCATTATGAAACACTGGAAACTACACGTACTTTCATAAAGGAGTAAGTGAGAAAATTCAAATAATCAGCTCAATCTCAAGAGGCTTGGTTTCTCTTTCCAACTTTGAAACTTCTTTCCTAATAGAAGTTTTGCTCTTGAAAGTCTTCTGGTTAGCAAGCAGCTGATGATATAACTTCTCTAGTGCCTGCTTGTACTTTCAGCCCAGGAGCAAGTAATAAAAAACCTGCCCAGCTATGTGAGGCTTGAATCAGGTGCTAACACTGAACATCTGCTGGGGCCTCTGCTCTCCTCTCCTCCACCCTCCTTCCAAGTTCTGGGCATTGGAGCATTCTCCATTTTACAGCTTGCAGCAATGAAAGGCCAATTTAAGAGGGAAAGCATTCCTGACAGTGTTATCCAAAAAAAAAAAAAAAAGAAAGAAAGAAAAGAAGAAAAAAGAAAAAGAAAAGAAACAGACCCCGCTTTAACTGCTCTCTGCCAAGGACTTTGGTGCATCCAGCATCACTGTGACATACTGAAAACATCTGCAACGTGTGGCAGCCTTTGGGAGCAGTCACTAGAAAAGCATTCACAGACCCAGAGAGAGAAACACAAAAACTCTACACATACATTTATTACTTCATACAACCGATTTGCTTATTGTACAAAAATTAACAGGGCCACCCAAGAGAGTATTTACAAATGTTTAGAAAGAGACACCAAAACACAGCTTTAAAATATGTTTTAGAGTAATTTAGGTACAAACTACTGAAGCACCACATACTGAACAGTGTGTGTGCATGCATATATAGACACACACATATATATGTATCTCCATACACACATAGACATAGACCAAACAAATTGTTGCAGCAGGCTGTGACACGTTAGTACGTTGCATGCTGATGATTCAAACATCCCTAAACTAGGGTTTCCCCCGGGGGAATAAATTGGATGTACGCTGCTCACTGACCTGTAGGCTCATCCTTGGGGCCTTGAGTTGCTACTGCTGTTAGCCTGGCCTTCCTTCCCTGGTCGCTCCTTGTTAGACCCCTCCATTGGCTCCCCTCTTGAGTTTATAACCCAACCTGCAAGCCCATCTAGATGAGTGCATATACGTGTCTTGGCAAAGCTGTAAGGGTCAGCATATACCATCAGCTCCCAACGCTGAAAAGTCTCAGCAGGGCAGGGACGGTCTTTGTCTCGTGGAGTGCCCGCTCTAGTGGGGCCCGAGCCATGGCTGCAATGCTTGGGCACAACTGTTGTACATACAAAGATCTGTGGTCTGCAAACTTTGACTTTTCTGTTTTGCAGCAGTAGAGGATGAATGGACCTATAGAGAAAAACCCATTTCGGGTAAAGATCATTACCTTGAGAGTAAAAGACTGCAGTGCCTGAACAGTTCCCACTACATGCAAGAGGATAGCTTAACCCTTTAAGGTAGAAGGTTTATCAAAGAGCCAAGGAATGACATTTTTGCTAAACACTGTACTTTCATCAGCAGAAGGTGCGCTGCTGCTTGCAACATGAAACTGAGAAAACTGATGCTTACACCTTTCTAAGTAGGTGACGCTGCTGAATCCCAGCACTGCTCCTGGGCAGCCAAATGGAACGAGTTATTGGGATTCCACGTCTGTTCCCTTCCAGAGCTTGTCTGAGTAGAGTGAAAGCTCCTCAGCCAGCAACAGTCTCCCCAGTGGGCTAGGGGAGAGACCCAGAGCTGCTACTCTAATGTTGGTCACAAAAGAATCTCGTAGTTTTACTAATTTCTACTGCAGTAAAACAAACAAAAAAAAACAATAACAGCTGTAGTCTACAGCTTTCATGAGGAGGAAATGACAGACTGTGGCAATGTTTTTAAAGCTTTCTCTCTATAAAGGTCCAGTTATTTCCTAGGATGAACAGACTAGCCCTTAAAGGAATTTATCCATGAAGTATAAAGAGTCAACACAGCTTCTGCTTGCTCATCTTCCAGTGTAGAGAGCACTGTTCCACTTAAGTCTCACAGCCAAGGTGTTGTGAACCTCAAGGGCTCTACCGTACCTAGGTAACACGAACTGGTCAGGAAGGAAGGAACTGCAGTTTTTATTCTCCCCATAGATGAAAAGGCTAAAAGCTGATGTTCTTCCTGGGTTAACCTCCCCTGTCCTTGAGTGTAACAAGGCCTAATGCTAGCCAATAGAGATACTGTATTCTTTGGAAAAATATGAACAGCAGCTGTGCGTCTCAACTAATCCCAAAAGGCTTTTTTCCTAGAGTGCCACATGGAAACATGCTTCTACAGTCCCAACTGAGTTTCATGTCAAATAAAAGCCTGACAGAATGTCCATGATGACATTAATCTCCCTGATGTTTCTCCATGCAAATTGGGGCAGCCCTATAAAATGACAGGATCAATCCAAGATGTGTTCTTCATATAAAAAGAAGAAAAAAGAAATACTGACAGACAGGGAACTGATGGTAAAACAATTGCAAATGTAGCCCACGTAATATGATAGATGCTGCAGTGTTGTCAAGTTCATATCCTGACAGTCCTTGCTATTGAACAGAAGACACACCAGAGCAGCATTTACCTTAATGGTTCACACTTCATACCTAAAAGGTGCTCAGACCAGTGTGATGAATTATTGACGTTATTTGCAAGTTTCAAGAACGAGCAAAAAGAAGCAGTAAGGATACGCTCCCATTCAAGAGGAGGTGGACAGTTCTGAATCCTTGGCTCACTTTGGGAAAAAGATCCGTTTCTTACGCCGCTTTACCACACCTGGTGACGTCACTAGCATCTCAGCGGAGAGGCCAAGGGCAGAATAGCTCCTGAACTGCATAGCCCCTTTAGGTCACCGAGATACTCAGAGCCTAGCCCAGGAAATCACTGAGAATTCCAGACCGCGTATTTCTTTGTAAATCTGGCCTTTCCTTTTTATTCCTAGTAGGAGAACCTCTGTATGTCAGACTCGCTGCTAGAGCGTGTGAAACAGTCACGCTGCCAGCCTGGCAGCTATGCTATGGCGAGAGGATTTCTCATGCCACAGTTCATAACCCAGCCCTTCTTATCCCTACGCTTGCGCTTCTATTTAGGATTGGCGGGGAAGAAACAGGTGAGAACAGAAATGAGATCATACAGATCATTTTCCAAAAATCAATTACACAGTTACATATTTTTAAGAAATCTTCATTAAAAAAATGAATTGTAAACAGTTCTAAAACATAAACAAGTACAAATTCCATTGTCTATTAAAGCTAAGAAAGAATTTATGCCTAATCAGGACTGGCAGTCCACAGCCATCTGTTTGAAGGACAGCCTTGATATTAGTGTTTTTACTGTATTAATTTCTGGTACTTAAATAATAATAATATCTAGAATGCACAGACAAAATATATTTGAATGATACATAAGCATAAAAGTGCAAGGTGTAACTTAAGTCAAAGTGCCTACTGGTCAAACTGGGTACAAAGTACGTTTAGACATTAAGCATAAATTGGACTGAAAGTAATCAAGGCCCTTTGCTTTTCCTCTCATTTCCATTAGGAGAAGTCACAGGTAACACCAGTCCAGTCTGAAGTGACATCAGTGCCAAGTGGACGTACAAGAGAGGAGAGCTGAGCCCGTGTCTTGATGAAAACAAGTCCTTATTTCCTCTATCTAATGCCAATCAATCCACACGCTTTGCTCTGAATACTCAAGCAAAGAGAATCACATCAGAGAAGAGTAACTTCGATGCCATATTCAAGGCAGGCAGAGTCAGCAGCTCAGCGCAAATGTAGCACTTCTTAAGAGCAGGGGGAACAGCATGCCCTTGTTAGCTCCTCTGCAGTCACACCCCCTGATTTATTGATTTCAGTCATAAAAGATGACTATAAGGAGATAAGTAACACTGCTCTTCACTGGGAAAATAAAACATTATCCTCAAAAGTATTATTCTTCCCTTCCTGTTTGTCCAATTTGACTATTCAGACATAAAATACCATTTATAATATAAGTTTGTTACTGTGCTCATTCCCTTTAAATGCAAAGGCAATTTAAAAGGAGATCTTGTCACAGGAAAGGGGGAGGGGGAGAGGGGGAGTAAAGGCAGACCTTTCATTAAATCTTTAAAAAGATTTCTAACTCATTTTACAAGTGAAAACAACAAAAGCCGTAAAAGTCTAGCAAAAGAGAGCTGTTACTGAGATTAAGCAGATCCAAACTCTGCCATCCATTTTTCATACTTTTCCAGGTCTGCAGCAGAAACAGATTTGGAGATTTTCTTCAGAGCCAGCTCAAAGTCCCCCTTGGTAACCGGCATCTGCAGTTCCTCTTTAGAAAGTGCTCGAATCTCTTCTGGAGTTAAGCCGTTAATACGCCGTCTCATTGCCATTAAAGAGGCATCCCTGGAAACACAGGACAACCAATGGAGCTAATTGGTAGCAGCATGTGCTGTAAGCTTACGAATTCTCATTGTATTCTCCGGCTAGAAACGACTGGCAGGAACACTCAAGAAAGCATTTTCTTACCAAAGGAGATGTGGACCACAGTTTTCTTAACTTCCATGTTCCCAGATCACTACATTAATTCAACATAAAGAATGCAATGGTACCAAAACCCGTTTAACGATACGGTAAATACGCAGAGATAATTAAAACTATAAAACTGAAAACCTTTTACAATGATTCACAGAGATGAAATGTTACATCTTCAGTGCAGGAAAGGGCAAGGTGGGAGGGGAATTTTGCTCACAGCTTTTTTTTTTTTTTTTCAAAGTACTCTGGATTTTGCATCTCCTCACTGTTCCTCTCTTAGATTTCAACTTTCTCCACCCCATGTAGCCCATTAGGGGAACCAGCAAGCGCTTGGAACGTAGCCCAGCTTTGCTGCCTGCTCGGACGGGGCACCTGAATCCCTAAAAGGCAGAGCAGGATGCGGCAAACATTAGTGTCGCAGGGTGCTGAGGCCATCAGCGCCCGTGGCTCCTCACGCTCTACCTCCGCCTTGACTCCTCCCCGGCTCTCATGCTGCCAGTGTGGCCCACTGGCACAGAGAAGACTGCTCATTTCTTTCACCACAGCCCATATGCAGTTTGCAATTACATAGTCTCTTTCCTCAGGTTTTTCCCAGCAAGGGATAACAAAGGCCTCAGGGAGAAGAGGTAATTTAACCATTGCACTGTGTAGCACGCCAAGTTTCAAAACCATGGAGTCATTTCATGCGTAATGGCCACAGTAAAGCAGGAAAAACAAAACAAAACAAAAGAACCCCCCCCCCAACCCAACAGCATCAGCGTCTCTGGGTAGGGACCCTATCTTTGTAAGGGACATAAAGTCCCTACTGTTAAGTTTTTTCAAATACCTACACTTCACTAGAAAAGCTTCATTTGTCAAAAACTGAAATAGCCTGTGGAAGAGGATGGATATACACAGCCCACACCACTGGTTCCCAGAGTAGTCCAGCCTTCACTATGCTGTGGGTGAGATGCCAACTGCCCTCTCTTGTCTCCTTTTCTTCTCTCCACAGCCCTGGCACAGCAGCCTTCCCCTCTCCTCTCATTTTGAACTCACCATGGTGGGTCAAAAGGCTAAGCGCTCAGGTGCAGGCAGAAGCATTATGAAGTTTACAAAATCAGCTCAGGCAATAGACTTAACTGTGCTTTGGGTTGTCATCTAGATCATGCTATGCTACATGAGGAAGAGGAAGGGAAATCAAAGCTTCAGTTTCCAAATTCCCACCTAGACTACCGGAATTCCTGGGCTCCTGGCTTCCCTCAACAAGCTGGCCCAGAGTCAGAGCTTCCCCCTCAGCATGGCAGGCTACAAGAAGCCCAGCAGCCTCGGAGCATCTCTAACATCTGAGACATGACTCAATTCCTCAGGTAACTGGGAACTGAAAGTTTGTTTCTTTTCCCCTTCACTCCAGGATTTCCCATGGAGCAGGGAATGGAGCTATTGCAGTGGGTATCTGATCCATGGGACAGTACCTGTTGTTAACAAAACCTTATTTAGGCATAAACTCAATACTACTGCTATACACTGTCTGCATCACCTTGGCACCTAGAAGCATCAGGCAGAAACCAAAATCCTGCTGCGACCGGTGCTGTCTCAACATATAATAAATACATAGGAGCCCCAAATAAACTATGAAAGGTTCCTTTGTATCAGGAAATTCTAGCTCCTAAACCCATGGGATTAAAAACAAATCCAAACCAGTTTTATACTAGATAAACAACATTCAGTAAATGCAGACAATGGTAACAGAAAAGATTTACTCAGACAATTTTTTCTCTTCAGACCTGAGCAAACTTAGGTTACATCTTATACAAAGACAGCATGGTCTTTAGACTGCTCGACTCGACAGTAATAGCACCAGTAAATGGATCTGGGCCTCGCATATAGCCAATGTTAGCATGGTTTCAGCTGTAGTGGGTATTCGCTTTTATCATATAATGCAACTGATGATTTTACATGCAGTTTTATTTGCAAATTAAGGTGAATAAGATACCTGCAAACATTAGTGATGTCAGCACCGGAATATCCTTCAATTTTCTCAGCAATGTCTTCAAGGCTGATATCAGGATCCAGTTCTACTTCCCGAAGATTAATCTTAAGTAGTTCTGCTCTGCCTTTTGCTACAACATAAAAATACTTGTTTGAAGACTTGAAAGAGTAACATAAAAAGAAAAGATATAAATACGACTTAGATTTTCCAGGAAATATACAATAAAAGAGGTTTAATGTAAGAAAAAAAAAAAAAGAGATAGATCAAATCACAGTAAAGCGTGCAGGCAAGTACAGCAAAGCATACAGTTAAAAGCAGTATATTTTAACCAGTATAATCTAGAGACATCTTCCAAAGTCATACATCATTAAAAATGTCTGTTACGTGTCAGGTGACAAAGCACTTGGTCACATACTACCCAAGGGCACAAAAGCACAATCCTATAAGCATCTATTTCTTCTCATAACCCTTTGGATTCACTTGCTGCTCAACTGTTTGATTGCGTATTATTCACACAGTTTCATTAGAAACACAAAGAGCATTCTATTAACAGAGCTGTAGACAACACAAAACCCTTAACAATAGGCTGAACCTTAAGCCTGTGTTTAAGTGCTTTACCCAGTTGGGACCCAAGAAAGCTGCTGAAGCCTGATAGAGAGCAGATACATTAACGCAGTAAACGTATTAATATATTTGCAATACAAACGTTCTGGTATCCCACTTTCAAATCTAGGTGCAGTATGTACACAGTGAGAACCAGATGTGTAAATGAATATCTACGTATCCAATTAACCATTTTTCTTTGAAGGGCATGTGCATACCTGCGTCTGTGTGCATACCTTAAACAGTCTAGGCTTATAATACAGAATTCACATTTGGCAGCTTAGGCTTCTGTGTTATTCTGCACAAGGGTGGTAAAGAGTATGGATGCTTTTCTGGCTTTTACTCTAAAGGAAACATATACCAGCTCAGCATCTTTATTTCCACAGCGACCAATTTTTACGACTTACAACAGAAGATAACAATTACAGAGGAAGTAGCAGCAGGAAAAGCTAAAAGTCTTAAAGAAACATCCACACTCATGTTTTATGTATTAGTGTCCCTAATTAAAAAAGGGAGGAAAAAAAAAATCAGAAAGCATGTCTAAGGCCGCTGTTTTTGAGTGTTTTGCAGAACTGTCAGTAACACAGACAGCTATCATTCACACACAGCTGGCACTGACTAGAAAATGGAGATTTATTATTTAGAGCAGTTCAACATACATATGGCAAACCTGCAGAGAGCCTCCTCTATTAGAGGACTTTTTTTTAACCTTTCCCAGTAGGATCAGCAAGCCCTTACAATATTTTGAAAATGATACACTGTGGAATACATACTGACACCACATTCCACTATTTACGGGTGTATATATGACATACTGTATCATGCAATTTTTCAATTAAAATGCCTGGCCACATCAAATTACACAGCTCGATTATAAATACATCATGTAGACTGGCATGGAACAGCTCAATGTCCTCATTTACAGAATAAATGCAACAGAATATAAGACTGGAAACACAACAGGAACACATCTCAAACGTTGTCCAGAGTATAATATAGTATGTCAAAAACCAATCTTGTTTAATTAGAAACAAGAGCAAAAACTGATAGGTTTTTAAACTAATTGGTCATAAAGACAAGCATCCTGTTAGGAGATTTACCGTCTGTAAGCGTCTGTAAGCTGCAAAGACAAGCTGTAGAACTATTAAAGTGTCCTTATACTGCTAAACTCAATCACAACTGCTGTCACTATGAACACGCATCTTGTTATCTCGAGTGCTCATGCAGGGAGATGAGGCATCCACTGTACCAAGAAGAAACAAAGCTATGCAAACTTCAAGTGATAAGAATCTCAAAATTAATAGGACAGATAAATGACAGCCAGGAAAGACAATACAAGCTGAGACGTCTTAGGGCAGGGAAGCAATCAGCCTACTGCATTCTCAGCGATTTGAAGCCTAGCCATAAAGGCTAGCAGGTAGTTATTTACAATGAACTAAGCCAGTGAGTGAAAATTCATGGATCCACTTCTTTGCGTTTGTCTGTAAGGCCATGGAGTGCATTTGCAGTATTTCCTCACGTGTCCAAAGGCTGCCTTTGATGATCACTCAAGGATTGACTGTTAAACATTTAAAATAATTCCAGGCTCATTAAAACTAACTCTCTTTCAGAATGTAAGAACCCATCAATGAGCTTGCAAGGAAAAAAGGCAGCTCTTTGTTTTTAAGCTCCCAAGCAAGTATTTTCTTTTTCTCTCACTCTCTTTAAAGTGACGCAGCCAAATGATTAACCCTTGAAATTCACTGTTCATCACAGAAACATCAAGATTCGTCCGAAACTCAACAGTCCCAGAGCAGCCCTAAGCTAGTCTTGGAAAGGCCATTTTAAAGGAAAACACTTGTAGCAAGCGTACCTGTGGGCAAAGGTATATAAATCCTCTTCTCCAGTCTTCTTCGGAGAGCTTCATCAATATCCCAGGGAAAATTTGTAGCTGCTAATACCATAACCATTTTGGAAGGGTCATCATTTTCCAAAGCACCACCCACCCCTGCAAGAACAACAGTTTAGAGAAATTTCACTCCACTACTCTTGACTGAGATGCTTGCTAAGAAACACTGGGCAAACCTTGCAGAAGCTTGGACAAAACTCAGCACTTTCCAAACTTTCCTTTGTATATGTGTAACAAGACCACCCTTGGCATGGAAAAGGGGACAGTTAATTCATTTGCAGAGTCGGGGGAGGGCTCCCTCTGACAGTGCTAATAATGCAGTCATACACGATGTGTAGTTACTAGTCCCACCAATACTGGACCAAAATGCTACCTTTGTTCCATCGGGCCATAGAAGAAATATGAGCAACTCCTTGGCCTCCCAAAGGAGGACTGCAAAGACATGATCACTTTGAGGCAAAAGGTTGCCTGCCCTGAGTTTGCTGCGATGAACATGCACACTTGAGGACATTATAAACAGTGGTTAGATAATAACCACAGCACAGAGATGGTTATCAAACCACTACACCACAAAGTGTTCCTTAGACAGCGGTCCTCACTATGTGCACCTGCACAGAACAGGTACTAAACATAATTAACAGGGTGATATTAGCTGCCACAATAAGATAGGGCAAAATCAGATCTAACAGTGGGAACCCTGAGCAGGAGGCTGTGGGAAAGAAATTTGTTTAAATTGCATCAGAAACAAATGCCTGTATTCAACTGCACAAATCTTCATTATCTGCTGCTCCTAGGGACAGCTGTCTCCTCAAAATAAGCTTTTAATTTTCCACCAAAGTGGCCACTTTAGAAAAAACAAATGAAAACGGAACACTTTAAAATTGATCTGCCTTTGGACATTCTGAAAACACACTACTCTAAAACTCCCCCTTATTTTATCTCTATCCATGAAGCCAGGCTTTTCAGATTGCTTAAATTCTGATGTTCCCACCTGGAAAGAAATAGCATAAAGACTAGTAACTAAATACTAGTTACCGTCCATTTGCACAAGCAGCTCTGACTTGACTCTGCGACTCGCCTCATGTTCGTCGGATGTGCCTCTGCGGCTGCAGATGGAATCTATTTCATCAATGAAGATTGTTGTTGGAGCATAAAATCTCGCCTTTATTCAAATGAAAACATCATTATTAAGACTGCAGCAGCAAGTGCAGGCCCTCATCAGACCACAACCCGATGAGCTAGGAATACTACACACATAAAGAAAACAGCATATCCCTTCTCCGTGTTGCAAGAAAGTAATTTAAAATGTTGATTTTACAAACAGTTTGGCATATGCTTAAGTTTATACACTTTAAATTGTACGCCTTGAGTCAGAAGTCTTTCAGTGTTCGTTGGTTTCTTAAGCAACCAGTCTTGCAAAGGGGAAAAGGAACACAGTCAAAACACAGGCAGTTTTAATGTGCAGATTTGTGCACTGATGAAGGGAAAGCATAGGGGAAAGAAGGGAGCTCAGCCTACCTTCAAAGAGACAGGTTTTCACTGAGAGTATGGTATAAATGAAATGAGGAACACAAAAAGGTGAATGGCCCCTCAGCATCTGTCTCCATGGGCATATGCTCACATACCCACATGATGAACTGCACCCAAAAATTTACTGAGAACCTTTTGCACCCACTGTTCAAAACAGAAACAGAACTAAAATGTGTTTTGCTTCTAGAATAACAGTTCTCCAAATCCTCCAATTTCAAATCTACTTCCTAAGGGCTTGTTATCCCAAATGGTAAGAACCGAATTTCTGGCAAGTTCATGACTCTATATGGAACTGCCAAAGTTCCACCTATAGCTTGGAAAATGCTATCCTGAACGTGGATGACAAACATTTCCTTCTTAATCATCAAGAACATACCAGAAGAAAACAGAGATTGCGTGCTTCTATCTGGTCAAGGGGTGTTAGTGCAAAGTACTCCATGCTTCCAAGATGCTACTGGAGGGTTGGGGAACCAACAGAGAGGTCCCTTCTCACCTTAGCGATCCACAGATCACATCATCAAGGACATACCATTTCAAACAAGAGGCGGACTAGCTTCTCAGACTCTCCCCTGTATTTAGATGTCAGAGTAGAGGAAGAGACATTGAAGAATGTTGTTCCACATTCGGTAGCAACAGCTTTTGCTAACATTGTTTTGCCAGTGCCAGGAGGACCAACCATCAGCACACCCTGAAAGGTAAAGACAGAAGTAATGAAAAACAAATGCAAAAACTCTGCAATCAGCTACAGCACATCTTAACAGGATTCACGATCTGTATTTTAAATGCTTAATAACATAATTGTCATCAGTGGAAGACAAAAGAATCGTGCTTCATGAGAACAGCATGCAATTGTTCTGCCGTTTATTTTTCTTACTAATCCCCTGAAGTCAGAATCACAAAAGCCAATAACTTTTCCTGCAGCTATCACCTGTGAAGTAGGCAACAGATTTACAGCCTTGCTCTGAGTCAGCCAGAGCCTGGACTTGAACTTGGGTCTCTCCCAACTCGTGAGGGGCTATACAGGCAGATGAAGAGAGCAAATTGTTCTTCTTTTTGGAACAAAGGCTCCTTCATGAAGAAAGCTTCACAGACACTAAAATACTTCTGCAAAAAGCTGCATTCTCTCATTAGGGCATTTTTCTGCAGAAAAACATTTTGCTAAAAATCCTAACTATGTGCATGCATGAGTCTGGTTGATTTTTACTTCTAAGTACCCAGTAGAACATTGATTGAATATAAGGGTTTCTCGTTAATCTCTCCATCTAAGTACTTCTAAGGCCATATTACTGCATCTGAGCACTTCCTGGTTGAAGTACCATCCTCATCACAATGCAGAACAGCACTGCTATTCCTGTTTTACAGATGAGGAACTGTGGCTCATACAGACTACGGCTCAACCCCACAAAAAGCCTAATATGGACCTCAGTGATTATTTAAAAAGCTTTAAACTAGAAAATTGAACTACGCTCATTAAGTCCAGGCTGGCACTCACGTCATCAGACTGTCTTTCTGTCTGTGGTCTTGTGGTCTATCAGAAAGCAAGAGGAAGGAGCAATTCTCTCTCCTAACTCAGCGCATATTTACTCATCATTATGCAAGCAGGTTTTTTGGCTAGCCACACAGTGCCCTCAGGACCCTTGTTAAGATTGTAGCACTGAGACTGGCTAATCACCCTGATTACAATGAAAAGATAAGAGTTTTTAAAGTGAGCTACAACAACAGTCCCTGAAGACATGTGACTCCTGTGATGAGCTGACTGTTGACTCTCAGAAGAGGACTAACTCTTGATATTATTTTCAAATACAGTTATCTTTCTAAGTAGTCTTTCCAACCCTTTAAGCAGCAGTGAATAGGGCACTAGAATAGGGCACGGTGATCCTGAACATAGCACTGTGAAAATGTAGTTCTCAGGCAGCTTTTTTTTCTTCTAATTGCAAAATCTTATTACATGCTAACAAGAGTTTCCTAAAGTAAAGTTGTGCTGTGTTGCAAGGGTAATCAAATTAGCTAGAATTAGAATTGCACATCATAATGTGCTTTGCAATTAATATCTTATATAAAATGCCACAGCAATAAAATATCCGTTAAACGCAAGCTACAGTGCAAATTAGGCCTCATCTGTTCCTCGCAAAAATTTACTTCAAAAAGCACAAAGAATGACATGGAAGAGAGCTATAAAAACAAGTCAACCGGGAACACAATTATTCAAAAATGTACTATTCAAAAGCAATAGCCTCTCTGTACTCCATTTTCCATTAACTCTTAATACCTTTACTGCCATTTAACACTTTGCTAATGCAAGCTCAACATACATTCATTGGTAAATTAAGTTAGAAACATCCACACTCCTTTCACAGGGCTAACACTCCAATGTCACTCTTCAGGCTGTCCAAGGTTTCCTAAACTCCAGGGCAGCAAGCATAAAATGTAAATTAAGTTTTTTTCTTCCCATGACCATTCAGACACACACTATGATTTGAGCTGCTGCACAGTCATAGTGATCCCATAATAGTATTGCAAGTACAACCCTGGAGCAACCGAGCAGAAATTTTTCAGCCTGTGACATCAGGTCAGAGGTGGCTTACTGTTCTGTCTGAGATTCAAATTTTTATTTAATACTTCAAAATAAGCTTCACCTCAATGCAAATCACACTTGATCACACACAAACTCTGTTTACAGCATGACCAGGTGATACAAGGAGCTGTCATCCTTTTTTAGATAATACTTTGGTCCTCCATTATTGTGGAAGGTCAAATTCTGGCTTCTGCTATACACCCTGCTCACTGTTGAACTGAAAGCCCTTGGCTTTGCACCGGCTGTATAACTATTAAAATGAGTGTTAGCTAGCACATGACATTGGCGGCATTATGTCTGTGCTTCGTCCAAGTGCAAAGCTGCCACATCAGGTGCAAAGCCAGGGGAAAACCAAGCTCTCTGGGGATAAAGAAGACAGAAATATTAGTTTAAAAAAGAAAGAAAAAAGGGTGAAGTTGAGTTTTCAGCAAAACTAGATGTATATAGTTGCAAAGAGAAATGCATAGGATCAAATTGCTTTTTCGTCTTTGCAAACTAGGAGGCTGCCACTTACTCACTAGTTAAAATCCTTGACAAACACAAAGCCTTCTTTATTCTTCCTCTAAGGCTCTGTTAATCCAGAGTATTCCAATAAGAAGCTGAAATGCACCACAGGGAGCGAGTGTTTTGATGAAATCACTGCAGGGTTACTTCTTGTTGTTGTAACAATCACTAGCAGAGCAGTGGGAAGCACAGCAAGCAAGCAGGCCTTCTTGGCACAAAACAGCTCAGAGAAAAAGAAAGAGCAAGCCCGCGGACACTCAGAAACCCACGGCTGCAAGTATACAGCACCTGTGTTGAGTCACGAGGAGTGCTGTCTCCTTCATACAAGGCACTGTCCTCTGAATGCAGGGGCAAACTGTGAGGGCTGTCTTGGGAATTGTTCTCATGAGAGACTGAACATCCAAAAGCAGATTTGGCTGCCTTTTCCCTGAATTATTGTCCTGAATGCCTAGGCTCAACAAATGCCTGCTGCTACACTGATTAGTGCAAGAAACAGCCTTCCCTTCAAAACTCCTCATCCTTGCAGCACAGTCAGAGGTCAACAGTAGGGAAAATACATGCTGTTCTGCGTGAAAAATAAATGGAGGAGAGTTACAGATTCACAAGTCACCAGGAAAAAGGCTAACAATGAAGGCTCTTCGTGGACTCTACCAAAATCAATTTGCATTTCAGAATGAAGGGAAGAAATTAAGCTTAGAGTTCTTTTTTCCATATCTACAGCCAGCTAGTTTTCAGGTGTGACACTGGCCAGTAGGGGAAGATAATCTCATTCAAAGAGAAAGAGACTGCAACTCTTAGGACCAGGCTGTTGTTTCCCTAGGTACTGCCACAATATTTAGAGATGGGGCCAGTGGAGCATTCTTCACGTTGCCTGCAGTCTGCTGGGGTATATACTTTAAAGAGAGGTGGCCACTGCATCCTCTAGGCATGTTAATAGGTTCAAAAGAAACACAGCAGTTCCTCGTTCCCTTACAAGCCTTTGAAGATAGGAGTGATATGACTACTGTAGTCTGTGAAGAGAAGTATGGATCAATGTCTGCTTTCAGAAGGAGAAATGGAAAGAGATTCAGCCAGGCAGAAGACACCAAAATCTCACTGTATACTTTAGCCTATTGATATTTAGGCTCTGCCTACACTGATAGTTCGGTTAAGCTTAAGGTTAACCTCAAGCCCACAGGTACTGATTACAAACACACTGTACAAACTACAAACACTCTAAACCCAAAAGAGCTTCCTGGCTCAACCTGTGTGGTGTCCTGGCTTCAGGCTAGGGCTAGCCTCCCTGTTCCTTCTGCCTGCCTGGAACTTGCTGCAGCCTGCAGCAGGAGCGCTCCTCAAGCAGCAATCCCACAGTTATCAACTCCCACCCTTTCTGACTTCCACTCTTTACACAAATCGCAAGAACAAGTCTTCCACACATCAATTCCTCCAGGGGTTTGTTCCATAAATAAGCTGAACAACATGGATCCAGCATTGGCTCAGGCTGCAGGAGGACAACCCTGAAGACCAATCCTATGTATAAGCAAGAGAACTGTAAGGACCAAGCAGGAAAAGAGAGGGCAGGTGTTAGTAACACTAGGACTGATGTATGCTGCGAACCAGAACAGTAAACTGCAAAAACTACTCACGTACACAGTGTTTCCTACATGTTATTGCTTTGCAGAGTCAGAAAAATAGACAATTTACAACTCTTTTCCTCAGTTCACCCCTAAATCCTTCTCAGTAGCCAGAAAGCCCCTGTGTTGTGACTAGTTATTCCCAAAACAAGTGTCAATCCATCCCACAACAAAAGCAAGACAATTTTATTTGCTGTTTAAAGAAATGCTCAGCAACCTCTTCCCTCCTCCTTCTTTTAAGCTGAGCAAGGCCCACGCTGGGCTTTGATCTCTGGTCCCCCCAGCCAGTCCAGCTTAGTCCCAGATCCTGGCTGTTGCCCGACTTGTAGCTCACTCGCGCGTGTCAAATTTCTCCCACTCCAGCACTTAACTATGTCCAGCTGCAAGTGGAGCAGATTAGTCCCCTCTCTCCTTGCATCTTCCAGCATGCAGTCTGCAGCCTGCATAAGAGACAGCTGGCATATGCAAAATAAAACAATCCAAAACCCGCTTTTTTCCATGAAGTGGTAGAGCAGGGCCCTCATAATCCTAAACAGAGCTTTCCACTAAGCATTTCTGCTTCTATCAATAAACCCAATATGCTTGCTCATACGTACAGGCCGACATATAGAGTATTGACATCAACAAGCAATGACTGAAAAAACATGAGAATTATTATTTACTGTAAACCCTGCACACACTTCCAGTTGTTTATTTCAGTGCACTCTGCATGAATCATTATGACAGGATTTCATGGACAAAATCCCAAACCTTCCTGTTTGCCTTTTTGCCACTTTTATATAGACATCCATACACGCTGCAGCAGCAGGCATGCACAGCTACAACCTGCCAATTACCAAAACACCAAATAAATTCCCACCTTCCAAGGTCTTCTGATCCCTTTGAAAAAATCAGGCATCCACATTGGAAGGACGACAGCTTCTCTTAATAATTTCTTGGCTTCTTCTAAATCCGCTATGTCATCCCTGTGCAAGGTGAAAAAACTTGTATAAGATTCCTGTACAATGATATTTCTTTTGCTTTTAAACAATGAAAAATAGAGAAGCTTTTCATTCAGTACCATCTCTTTTGGCATGTCAGTATATGCCTCATAAAAGCATTCCTACCACCTTGTGACCTAAAATTGAATCCACTTGCGAAAGGTAGAGAAAAAATGACTTTCAACTCAAGCTATCCTGAGCTGCTTAATTAAAAATTGTTTTGGACAATATGAACATCAGAACAATATTTTTAAAGTTCTCTGGAGCGTACTTGCATTTCAGTAGCATTTGTAATGGATCCATAATATCAGTTAGCAGCAAAAGCCTAACTGTAATGAAATTAATAAACTGTTAAAACCAAAAGACCTTGTTGCTCCTTTGTAAGACGACCATGATGGCTCCCTATTAAAGAAGATAATTCCTCCCTTTCTCCACGCTAACAAAAATAGTTCAATTGAAAAAATCCTCATACCAATGAATACTTGGATTCCTTGACACAATGTCCCTTTCAAGAGCTTCGACCAAATCTTTGTCGTAACCTGCTCCATCAAATTTTGGAATTTCCCCATCACCAGCACCTTCCTGGGTTATTTTCTTTCCTAAAAAGTCACACAGACTGATAAGGACATTTTTCTTTCAATATATCCTTCACTAGTAGCACATAGCAGTGCTGTCCGGTTCAAGTCACAAGAAGGTATCAAGCTTTTACACAGAACGCTGACAGTCTCAGTACCACCATGGCACGCAAAGCCAATGCTTTCATCCTTACGCTCTACAGAGTGTCCCCAAACACCTCTGGTTGCTTCCATCACAGCAGCACAATGTTTTCTTCGTAGATGCAGCTCACAGTGATAAAACCCCACCAGAACTCACTGAACGTCGTGGTGGGTCGGCTGGTTTGTTTTAAATCAGCAAATGAGACTCTAGCAATGTTAGAGCACTGTTTTGACTACTGACATGCTTCTTGGCCAGCTGAATGAACAGATGCAGAAATAGCTTAACACTGCAGGCCACATCACTGCTTAATGCTGCATTAAATCCTGGCTGAAGATGGGACCATCTGAAGGGTATTCTGAGTGGCTGTTTGAGCAGGAAGATGCTACATCTGCTACACTACCTGCCAGAGCTACACAATTGGGACCCCACCATCACTGAGAAAGAACAGGAAAGCTGGTACACCCATGATCTTTGTGGAGGAAAACCAAGAATATTCTTTCCCACTGTTTAATTAAGGCCTTCCTGCCCAGCAATTTCTCCTATCCGCAACTGCAAACTATCTATTTCCCTTCTCTCACTCACAACCCAGCCCCGTAAACAGTTAAACCACTTTTAAAAGGCTGTATTTATTTAAGGAGTACACCAAAAGCCATAAGATAGCTCCCAGGTCACCCAAGCTGCTTTGAATTGCAGCAACTTCTGCAACACGCTGATACCCATTCAATGACCAAGCCAAACACTGCCTCTGTCCCAAACGGCCCACAGTTTCCGGTTCATACTTCCACAGGTCTGTTGAGCTTATGCGGGTGAAGTAACATTTTCCCTTTGAAGAATTATGGCTCGTTCTCCTCTCACACTTCAGAGGGAAACCACTTCCCCTCCCAGCTCAACGACAGTGTTCAGTGCTGCCTGAAAAGCAGCTGCACTGTTTTAACTGAGCTAGGCTGAATGGGGAGCTACTTTAGGGCTCTTAACTCAGCTCCTAAGTACCATCAGCAGCAAGTTAAAGAATCCCAGCTGGCTGGACAAAAGCAGCCTAGGCAAAGGGGGGGCTGAGAAGCAGCTGGAGACACACACATAAGCTTGCAGTGAAAAAAGGTAGATACTACACCCCTCTCAGTTGCCATTAGCCTACAAGGCCTGCGAGGGAGCAGCTTATTTTCTCCCCTATTTTTATTTCTTGCTTCCAAGTGAACTCTGCGTTGTTCAATATTCCCAGATCGGTTTTTGCAATGGAAATTAAGCTGAAAGTTCTGTTTAGACAAAAAGCTGATGTCAAAACTGTAACGGCCTGGTGTAAAAAGGAAACAGAGAAAAACCCTGTACGGTTTCGAAGATTTCAGAAGAGAGAGCAAATGAAATCCAAATGTAGCCATAAAAAGAAAAAAAAAATCACAATAAAATCAAAGGTATTTGATGCCTTTCCTTGTTACACATTTCTTTCATATCTCCCTGCAATGAATCGGTTTTCCTAGTGGAAGAATTTTTCTGTACACTTAAAAAAAAAAAACTGTTTGGATGTTTTATTTTATTTATTTATTTATTTTTATTTTTTTCCAGGATGAAACAGGGGTAAGGTTGGCTTTAAAAAGCAGTAAAAGCCAGAGAGGAGGAGGTTGAAGCGGCGGCTCAGAAACCATGTGCCAATCTCAAGCGTCCCCGCGCAGTGGCAGGCGGCGGGGGTTGGGCCACCG